TCTGCTGTTAGCAGGAGAGAAGGCTGCCAGGGACTGCAGCCTCCAGACGGTAAATGATAAACAAGTTGAACAGGTTGAGCTGCAGCCATTGACCAATCCGATGTCTGCCCTGCTCTGTCCTGTCTGCCTGCTTCAAGCTGCTCGCCTCCAACGACTGGTAAACAATAAAGATCTTTTGTACCAGATAAGAATGCATATTTTTCCTGTTGGAAATAGTTTGTGTGACATTACATTGATGCGACGTCTTAGAAGAGCGTAAAATGTATCTTCATTAGACTTTACATTTAAAGTGTTTAGCAGTGAGTTACTGTATTTATTTTATTACTGACCATCATTTTTGTCATGTAAACTCACAGGGAAAAGAAAGTGCAAAGCTTGAAAATATTGCAAGCTCTGGCACAGCACCACTCCCAGACTCTCAAGACAAAACGCCATGAAGTGTGTCTGGCTCTAATTGAAGAGGTATTTTACACACTTCCCTTTGTATCTTTGTTCAGATCTCTTTGTCTCAACCTGTTATCATTGGCCAAAATGTCCCTACAGACTTGTGTGATGACAGTCATTTTTTATTATAGGTAAATAACCTAAATCAGCAGTGGCCTGTGAGGCTATGACCACGTTAGCCGAGCTGTATGTGAACCTCAAAAAGGCAATGGACTTGGAGGTCGAAGCCACAGGCCGAGCTCTGCTGCTGAAACTAGCGCAGACCGCCAGCAACTTTGTTCAGCAGCAGGCCAATCTTGCACTGGGTGCCATGGTGGAGAACTGCAGCCATGGGCGGACAGTGAGCACTCTGTTGAACACAGGACTGAAGTAAGTAGGGAGGCTGCATTCACTTTAGCAGCAGGAGTTATCAGACTAAATGAAATGAAACAGTAAGAGACAGTTTGTCTCATATCACCGTGTATTTGTCCCTCCTCAGTCACCGTTGTGTCGCAGTAAAAGGGAGCATGGCTCAACACCTGCACCTCCTGGTCGACAGATTTGGAGCAGCTTGCGTCTTGGCAGCAGGAACGAGCTTCACCGAACACTTCCTAAGAGCCGTCTCCAAAATGTGTGTGGATGCTGCACCAGACGTGAGGTACGTTGTCAAGTTATATGGATTTAGTGCACAACTTTGCATAATCTTGTAATGTGCGCCTTTTGTTTTGTGTTGATTGTTTTCACCATCTCAATTTTGTTTATCTGAACTTTGTGCTTAACAAATAACTTATTCCTCCACAGGCACCACGGACAGATCCTCCTCCAGAAGCTGGCTTCCAACCAGAGATTTCTGAACCTGGGGACAAAGATCATCCCAGAAACAGAAAGAGCTCCGCTGGACAAGATCCTGAAGAAGTCCAAGCTGTAAAACTGGAGAACATGTGCAATATAAATTAATGTATTGCTATTAATATTCTTGTAATTGTTGCTTTTGATTGTGTGACTGGCGAAGCAACACAGATATTGTTATCCTACATACTTATTCATCTTATTCTTAATCTTCTGCCTAAAAGTTTGGACCACTGGTACAGTCCCGGAGCATTGCCATGACATGCACAAAACACATCAAAACGTGTTGGAAAGATACTGACACTTTAAAGGGGCCCCTAGGTTTCATTATTGTATTTTGAGCCTCTTCGGAGATGTCCCGCCCCTTAGCACGTGTGTTGTAGCGCTATCCAATAGAAATGTGAGTGTTGCGTAGTCCCCTTTGCAGACCATTCACTAAAACATAATACACTACAGGAAGAGGAGAGCCAGTAAAGCAGAATAGGGACCCTTTAACATTCTTCTTATAAAGCACTCAGGCATCCAGTCTAAGCAACATTTTCCCTTCTTACATTGCTTTATAATTTGACTTTTAAAGCCCAGAATTAAAGAGTGATTTTATTCTGTTAATCGTCTCAGATTTATGAAAACATGCTAAACATGCACCCGGCTCCACATCACCCGGTTACACACAACACAGAAGCAGCTAATCCTCTGACTATATGTGAAGTGAAAGTTGCCTGCGTTGACCAAAATAATGAAGCTCTTTTACATGCAGGGTCATATTTTCTCCTTTTCTTTCATTTCATTTCCATCCTGTTTCTTTTGCAAGCTGTGAAAAGAGTTGCAGAATGTGTATTTATGTATTAATCAAATGACGTTGTTTTTTTCAGAATCAGAAACCCTTTATTTGTCCCGCAACAGGGAAATGGACAATATTACAGCAGAATTAAAGTGCAGATAAAGTGAACAGTATATGGAAAACATATCACACATTTAAAATAACTAAGTATGCACACACTATTTATATAAAAAAACAAATAGCAGATAAATACAACATGGCAAGCAAATTGAAAGTATATATTTAAGAAAAGGTGACCATATAAAGTTATTTACTATATATACTGCTGAGTGGCTTGTTAATTTCACCAATATATCAATACAAATTAGTGTGTAACCTATAGTAATACATGCTAACATATTTGTTGGTTGTATTGTATCGACTATATTTGAGTATTAACCTAAATCTTCAATAAAATATAGTTGAGTATACTACAATATTGTTATATAATATAATATATTGTAATGGAATACAAATGCCAAGGAGTACAAATTGAAAGTACAATGAACTCAGAGTACTATAATAAATATAATTAGTTACTGTCCACCAATGGATGTCGATCAATTGTAAAACATTTAGGTATTTGTAGCTATAAACTGTACACATAACAATTCAGTGCACATTATTACATATATACACATCTAGTCTCTTGATGATCTCCTCCTTACTCACACTATTATATGAATCTCCTTTTAGATGAATATGATTGTCAGGCTGCTCCTCCTCCTCCATCACCGCCACCCTCGCGTTTCTTCCCACAGGCGCTACTTTCAGCACCGGACAGCTCCCGTCTCCCCCACGCCCCGCCCCCCTCAGACAGACAGGCAGAGAGAAACAACCACACGCACCGGTGGGCGACACCTATGGCCTATTACGGATTTATTGGGAGGGACGGAACTTCAAGTACAATTTGTTTCGTTCGTCGTCATCCTCTCACATGGATCTCTCCGTGAAGGAGTAAAGAGGGAGGCGCACGGTGACAGCGTCGCTTCATATGAATGGTTTGCAGATTGCTGAAGAGGAGTCGTTGTTGTTGTTTTTTAACCAGTTAGTAGCTTTGGATCAGAAGAAGAAGAGAGGGAAAGTGTGTTTCCGCGGACAGAAGATGCTCAGGATGAGAAGTGGCATCATGTATCTGAATGCCAGGAGATATTCTGCTGTGTAGTTTTTCTCCCCCTTGTTAAGCAGCAGAAGAAAGGAGAGATTTGGTTATGCTCGCCACTTTTTGCCAAGCGATTTCTTCTCTGTAAAAACGGAGCGACATGGCTCTGCTGGTGGTCCCTCTGCTTCTGCAAACGGCGCTGGTTCTGGGATCCAACTACGGCTATGTGGAGTGGTCGGATAGTGACAAAGAGGAGAAGAACCCCCCGGTGTTCAGCACCCAGAACATCAACAGGGAGCCTCCTCAACACCCGACCTACTACCCGCTACCGGCCACGGAGCGCACGGTGGTGGCGCACAAGATCGAGGAGGACCTGCCCAGGGTGGTGACCGCGTTCCTGCACACCGGGGACTCCTCCGCGCTGAGGCACGTCAACTGCTCCCGGAGGTACGAGCTTAGCAGCCTGCGGGGCGGCCTGCATGTCGCCTCCCATTACTCCCTGCACAGCATCCTGGACACGGTTGCGCACGCCACAAACTTCCTGAACATTATCCTGCAGGCCAACAGGTCCCGGGAGCAAACGGCGCGCAGGGACATCCACTGGTACCACGCGCTGGTTCAGAGCATCCTCGAGGGGGATCCCAAAATCCACAGGGCTGTGGTAACATTCCACGGGGATGCACCCACGCCCGGTCCCCAGGTTTTCCTCCAAGCCACCAGGACCGAGAAGGAGGTGGTGCTGCAGGACTTGTCCGCCTATGCGCACCAGCAGCTGAGGAGCAGGAGCCCCGAGTCCGAGTGGTTTAATGACTTTAGGGACGGAAGGAGATCGCACATGCACAGGAGGGTCCAGGAGTCCAAGGGTGGAAGTTACCTTCTGGACAAAAACCAGATCAAATGGTCGGCACCGTACCTGGAGTGTGAGCATGGGGCGTTTGTGCCTTATTGGCTGCTCACCCTGTCTGCTGGCTTCTACGGACTGAAGAGCAACTCTACACCCGAGTTCAGGTGAGAGCAGAGCTGGATCTACTCCTTTAGTTAGAGGCCAAAGAGATATTTGTATTTTACTACTCATATACTTTTACCTCTGGTACTTAGACATTCCGATCTTTATCTAAGTAAGACTTTGAATGCAGGACATCTACTTCTAAAAAAAAATAGTAAATATAAGTTAGAATTTTCAAGAAAATAAAAGGGAATAAAAAAAACCCAGAAATATAGAAATAGAAACAGAAAAAGAAAGGAAAAAAAAGTAAAGTTACGTAAAATAATGAGTTATTATGAAAAATGCATGCAGGTAAATAATGATACTAATGTTGAAAACTAAAATGTAAACATATTAATATATGTAGGAATTAAATTGGCAATATACTGGCAGTTTTGTGCAGAAATGTGCAAAATGGTCCGTGAAAATAATATCTGTTTGAAGTATTAAAAGCATTATGCAACAAACAGAGATATAGTGCCAGCGACGTGTGTAAAATGAATATTGACAGATATGCACTGAAAAAAACAGAAAAGTGGATGAAATGTATTATGTCAACATATCACATAACTATAGCTGAAATCAATAATATTAAGTTGATCCTAATCTTTTTCATTTAAACGTATTATTGCTTTCAACTAACCTAATACAGTTATGTGACATCTGTTGACATAATACATTTAATTAACGTTTCAGTTTTTTCAGTGTGGAATAAAGTTTCCCACAAATATGCATAAAACATTGAATTAACAACCAACAAGAGTACCCTACTTTTGATTGACAATAATGCTCCATGAGGCGGAATGTAAATATGGATCCTGATGACAGGCAGCCTGGATTCAGAGGCAGATGGTGTAAAAGAGGCTTCACAGACACAGGTAGACCTTCTCATTTAGTATGCTCGCCTGTCAAAGCACAGCTGTGCGCCTCTCTCGCTGCAGCCTTTCAAATGAACACTGTTGGTGATGGGATCCATACATGTGGCCTTTTTTATTCATTCAATCACTCAAAGATCTGATGTTTCAAGGCTAGAACTGATCGATTAAATCACGAATAAACAATGAAACATCATCAATATGAAGATATTAACAATCTCACTAAACCCTGGAAATGTCTAGATGTATGACATGTGCATGTTGAGGAAAGAAAAACAAATCTTGTTCCGTCTCAAAAAAGACACAAAAGTGTGGATGACACAGAAATGTTCCTTGGTGATTTAGAGGCAGCAGGGTGTATGCTCATGATTTGGGTCCGGTTGGCAGGCCTCCACGCTGCTGACGTGTCCCTTTGCAAAGTGCTGCATCACTACCTGCTCCAGGGCTGGGAGGGTCACTTTTTAGGGTTTTCCCTTTTCTGTAGTAAATGGTCTGCAAAAGCTAAAATCCCAAAGTTCCCTCCAGAGTGGGGTCCATTGGGATCCTTTGTTTACTTCCGTGACATAGTGTCATCATTATGTAACACTCAGGCTTCTGTTGAACAAAATAAACCATATTTATGATCAAAGATGTGTCCTCTGCTCAGAGATCTTATTTATAGTAAAACCTGGCTTTCATTAAGCATATTCATGCAGTAGCATATACACCAACAATGAAAAACATGAGCACATAATACAGTTGGAAAACCCTCTAAATTGACAGAGCATGGTCCGTTTTAGTTTAACACATACTGTGTAGAGTTTAGCTCACACACACGATGTTATGAACGTACAGAACAGTACAGTTTACAAAGTAGAAATACAATGCTCCTTTTACAACAAACACAATATGCTCTTTTTTAGTAACTGTGTAATCCTGTTATTAATATGTTGTACAACTGTAACCCAATTGCCTTTTTTTTCTGTAACTGTAAGAGAATACAATAACCTTTGTAAAAAATTGTTATTACCATTGGTTATTGGTTAAAATGGTTATTACCGTTTAATGTAACCCGTTACTCCCCAAGCAGTCCAGGAACAGTCACCTTTGGCTTTAAGAGCTTATGATGTGGCCAAATCCTGCTTTGGATAGTTTCAGGAATTGTAATTCCTAAAAACTTTTTTTTTGTGACCTACTTTTTATTCTTTTTTAGGAAGCTATCCCCTTGCCCACTCCACAGCTCAAATATTTCTGGCTGTGATGCCCTGTTTCTTTTAAAAAATGACATATTGCCTGTCTGAAGGCTGAAGCCATAAACATGCACTTGTGAGAAGGGTTGATCCATTTGAGCCTGCAAATGAAATGTGGAACTTTTAGAGTCTTTCACATTTTCACTGAGCTTCCCATAGCACAAATCTGAAGGAATTTGGTCTAAATAGTGACCAATTTCAATTCTATATCTAGGACATTTAAAATACACAATTATTGCAAGTTTTATAATCCAAAATCTGATCTTGAATATTGATAAAGTCTGCATTTTTATTTAAAACCTAAAAATGTGAGATTATTCTACAAAGTACCAGATTTAAAGGAATTTTGACCAATCAGAACAAATGAAATTCCCCGACCATACTACATGTAGTCTTTGGGCAAAACGGGTTAATAATTGAGAGATTTATATGAAGAGCTGCTTGTGTCAGTCACCCTTAGTATCTGTTGATGTAACGTTTCATAAATTATTTCAGTGAATTCATTCATAATGAATCAATACACTATTCAAACTCAGCCAAGACAGCCTTTGTGTGAACATTGAAATAATTGTCACTTTTTACAAGTGAATGTGATTTTGAGCTAGAAGAAGAAAAGTGGGTTATGCGTGACACATTCCTGAACACTGCTTTCTGTAAAACACTCTTTCACTGGCAGCTGAGCACAAAGCTGTACTTTTTCATTTGTTCTGAGGCTTTCAGTCATACCTCATGGTTTGTATTTGGTCTGTAGTCTGTTCAGTTATCATGTTTGAAGATCCGTTAATGACCAATTGCAGCTGTCATGAATTCATCTATAGCAGTTTGCAGACTTTTAGTCTGTGTTGATTGGAGGAATGCTTTTAAAAAACAAAACAAATGTGTTCATTTAAAACAGTAGCCTTAAACAAACAAATTCAAGGTGAAATAACATTTTTTTTCCTTAGCACTCATTCCTTTATTAAAAGTAACACATGAGAAAAGCACTGAAAATTATATGGATGAAAACATAACATCTACTGAGCTTGCGAACTGAGTTATATCCGAAACAGGCGAGATAATTGCGTCTACTAACAAAGACCATGTTATATGCTTGAAAACTGTAAAAGAAAATGTAGTAAGCGGACTTTAAGTGTCTTTTACTATGTCAGAAACTGTTATGATTTAAGCAGAGGAAGCTAAGAAAGGAACAAACAAAAAGTTGTGTATGGAATGACACTTTTCACACTCAGCAATCGCCATCTTGGCTAGAAATGGAAGTTAAGCGACCAGCCACGATTGTGGTTTCTCTGGTCAACGCAACACTATCAAATTAAAAAGGTATAGTGTTTTTTCCCACTAATTAAGTAATGTCCCACTATATAGTTGCCGAAAAAACCCCACTGTTCTTGAGTTATTGTGCCGGTGAGGGCACAATAACGTGTATTTCGAGACAACACTACAAGGTAGACATTCTCCCACTGCATAAGAGTTCACAGTGCACTACATGCAGTGTACTGAAGGATGTAAGTGATTTCAGACAGAGCAAAAGTGTTTGTTTTAAGTCCAGAGCGTGTGTTGTACAAAGCTAATTTCCGGATTGAGTTTAATGATTCACTAACCCTATGGAACTCCTCCGCACTTTACTTCTTTTAACGTGAGTTGTGGTCTGCAACTTATTCTGTGACTTCTTCCACTCATCTCATTCCCATGATGACATTTCTAAAAATAGAAAGCGGCTTGGCTCTGAGCAGAGTGGCATAATCTAGTGTAGATAATGGAGTCCCCATGTCTGCTACTTCCTACCTCAAGGCAACCTCTTATCGTCTTCTCCTTTTCCCACTGTCCTTCAAACGTGGACATTGACTTAATTAAAACTCAGTTTGTGGCCAGTGCAACAGAGGCTATTAGTTTATGTAAAACAAATCAAAATGTATTGGATTCAAATTACTCTCAGAATCATGAGGAGGGCGAGAGAGGCTGCCTTGAGACACAACAGGAGACGTTTTACACTCTGTAGAACTGGGATCCTTTCTGTCCATCTGTCAGGCTACAGGTTTGAAGCTTTAAATGTCCAACAAGTACCATTCTGACATCTGGAAATAAAACAAATACCAAAATAATGTTGAGACATCAAAAAAGCTAAACGGTAACAACTTCTATATGTTTAGTATTGGGCGACATAAAGAGTGTTCCCCAACAAACAAATGACAGCATCTCTATTTCAATCCGGAAAGACTTCAGTTTTAGTTTAAAGAACATTTATTTATGCATGCGCCATATGATGGAAATGTTAGTCTTTGGCAATTAGACCCCAATCCTGATATCGTATGTCTTAAGGGGGAAGTGCATCCATGACTATAATAATGTACAATACAGTTGGTGGGTCAACAACTGACAGACTAATGATATTTATTTGACGATAAATGATAGAAATAGAAAGATTTTTCACAATCTTTAAGATTATCAACAACAACCCGAAGACTAAAACGCAATTTAGTGTATATATTGGCTCGCCATTTTACAGCTAGTTCTATTTCTTTTAACACACACACACACACACACACACACACACACACACACACACACACACACACACACACACACACACACACACACACACACACACACACACACTTTTGTATATACTAGCGGGGAGCTGTCGGCCGAAGCCTCTCTCCATGCTTGTTTGTTCCACTTCCCAGCAGGCAGATGGAAGTCAAGGTGTCACCACCAGCCACCAAACCTCAGAGCAGAGAGACAGAGAACACTCAGCCTGTACGATGTTGGAGGAAATGAATGGGAGAGAATAAATCCAAGACTTTTGCTGTGTCTTAATTTGGGTACTTCTGTACTTACCCTTGCTGTTTTGAGGCGCACAAAAGCCGAGTTTGGAAAGTTGGACACTTCTCGCACGATCGACATCTTGGCTATGTCACAACTTTACCATTTTTTTATTTTACCTTTATTTAACCAGATAAAAAGCAGTGAGATAAAGTCTCATTTACAATGCTGACCTGGCCAAGAAGGCAGCAACGTTACACAGACATATAAAATACAGAGAACACAACTAAGTAAACAAAAAAAAGACGAAAAGCAGCCACTACATTGTGCACATTTGGGACAGTAAGAAAGGTACACTACTTATTACTGCAAGAGCAGCTGGTGGTAAGGACATCAGACAACTTCAATTTAAAAAAAGGCTATAGGGACAAGTGCCGAAACAGACTCCTTTTTGCAGCCTCAGTCCGCACGGCAGGTACCTGGAACCGTATCCAGGCACTGGTTGTAAGAGTCACAAACTGGGGCAAATCTGGCACATACGTATATGAAGCTGAATGAAGGAATGAATAGGAAGCTTACCTAAAATGTCTTTTTACATTAATAAAAACCAATACTGCATCCTACGCATACTAAGTGAGGACCATCCAGGCTATACAGTTTGCAATGATGAGTCCTATAGGGTGCATTTGATATATAGCGCAGTGCAGCATGGTAGAGTGGGTCAAGTTTGGCCAAAACAGTGGGACAGGCAAATCTATAAATTTATCACCGTAGTCAAGCTGGGACAGGAATAAGCCAGAGACCAACCTTTTACGGGAAGAAGTTGAAAAACAACATTTAAGTCTGTAAAGGAAGCCAAGAGTGAATTTCAATTTCTTTGTTAGAACTTCAATATGGTGTTTAAAGTTTAGACTTCTGTCCAACCAAAAGCCCAAATATTTGTATGTATCGACAAACTCAATGGAGACGCCATCAAGGGTGTCAATGGAAAGGCAAGAGGACGCTGACTTGGGA